AAAGTGTCAAGCAGCAGATGATGGGCGAAATGGATCGAATGTCGGGACAGTATGTGAGTAGAGAGAAAAAAAGAGGAAGAGAATGGCTCAAAATGTAGCACTCAGGAAATGAATATTTGCCGCTGAGTTAGTTAGCTCAGTCTCAAAGAAATTGTATCGAGAAAACTTCAGACGTTGAGCTCATTTAATTTAGTCTGGAGATTAAACTCACTGCAGACCTTAAAACAAATACATACCCTGCCTAAGTATTTAAAAATTTTTCAATCATCATAAACTTTCAGTTCAACATCGTACAAAATCAAAACCTGGAAATTGTGTTGCCTTTGGGTCAAGTTGAAGCTTCAATCGGTGGATCGTTGAAAAATTTACAAAACTGTATTCTAATGAATGTTGATGACATCAATGCCGTAAATGATTTGATCAAGGTAAGAGCACTTCTTTTTGCAATAGTATTGGGTTTATTCATATAAAAATTTTGTATTAGAATTATACTCAAATGTAAAATATTAAACCATCCTTCGAAGTGACCAATCTTGCTAGAGCTACTTTTATTCAGAAAATTTTATTTTCTCTTCAGACAATTTTCGGTTGAACCGCGGTAGAAAAACCTCGTCTGTATTGACGAGCTTGATAAAAAATTTTCCAGTTATTCGTATCTAGAATTACTTGGTTCTCCTCCCGGGCTATGTTGGCTCCGCATAGACCTGTAAGTTCAGAACAACTCTCAAGAAAAGACTGCAGGCTTTCCTATACGTTGTTACATTTAGTTAGGCGGAGGGTTTATCGGTGGTAGTCTACGAGCAAGCTGATGTCCGGTCTGTTTAGAAAGTTAAAGGTCTTTTTAGCGAAATAATATCCAAAAAGTATGGCCCGTCAAAGGCTTCTACCGCTCTCTAATATGTACACACAGACCACTTGGTCTATTAACTCAATAATTGTCGATTTCGCAGAAGACCAACTGAGTTCACAGAAAACGTGCCGGACCTACGGTCCTTCTTACGCCAGTTCGTCGGTGAGCTCGTTCTTTTCGATAGCGCTATGGTTTTTAAAAAGAGTTGAAGAGTTTTTTAAAAACATTCCTTGACAGTTTGGCGGGCGCTAGTGTATTGGTTAGAGCCCTCATGGCCGCTTGAACCTGACGATCTACGCCCCCGAAAAACTTTGTTACTGATTCCAGGCTAGTATTTGCCAAAAGCTCTAGTAGTGCCGTTTTCTTAAGTAGGTTTTAAATTTACCTGCCCTTCAAAAATATTTTTTTCAGAAGAAAATCTTTGTTAATTGTTAATTCTGCCGGCTCGAGGTCAAATGGTTTTAATAAATTTTTTGGAATTAAAACACAGGGAAAAAAATTAAAATCCGGTATTTTAATTCAAAAAATTTCCTAAAACCATTTGACCTCGAGCCGGTTGAATTAACAATTAAGAAGTAAAAAGGTCGCCAAAACCATCATCAAAGAAAATCTTTGTTCAAAGGGCAAATAAATTTAAAAACTTACTTGATATCTCTAGGCCCTCAAGGTGTAAACACTTTTTAATGTATACATACGTTTGTTTTCTCTATCTCTATTTTGTCCTTGTAGAAAGCTGGTGCTAAGAAACTACGTACCATGCAACGTTTAGCTGTTTTTCGACGTCAAGTGCTCTACAAAGAATGGGAACACAAAATGTTTCGAGCCAACATCGATTATCTCAAGTATATGTTGGAAGTAATAGAGAAATGCAAGGTAAGTTTTGAAGCATGTTAGGTAACCAGGTATGTACATTTAAAAAACGGGTGTGTGTGGGTGGCTCCCACGCGCGACTGAAATGAATCTTCTTGTTACTCCCTATAAATTCATTTTTCTGCGTAACAATTTAGCCTTAATATCAACCTTAATCTAAACCTTCATCTCAATCTTAATCTTAAACTAAATCTTAATCTCAACCTTAATCTTTATCTTAACGTTAATATTAATCTTAACCTTAATCTTTTTATCCTAATCATAATTTTAGTCTTAATCCTAACGTTAGCCTTAACCCTAATCTTATTCTTAATTTAACCTCAATCTTAAACTTAATCTTAGACCTAACCTTAATATTAATCTTATTCTAAACCTTACGTTTTATCTTAACGTTAATCTTAGGCTTAATCTTAGCCTCATTCTTAGTCTTAATATTAATCGTACCCAAGCACCCCCGCCACCGCTTCCATGTCACTTTTTCGTTAAGCTGTCTTTACTTGAGGCGATTTTCTAGGCGATTCAACATTGCTCTGGAAACATCTCTCGTGTAAATAGTGATTCAAAAATCGCTTGTCTCAAGAGAAAGTCAACTTTTGCATGGGATTATCGCCTGTCAAAAAATCGCCTCATGTAATGGCAGCTTTACATCGATGTTTGCCAAACGAGCGCAAAGATGTTCCACTTCTAAATTAGGTTCCACGTTGTACTGAAGGCTCTATCAAACTTATTTCTCAATTTTATTTCCTTTAATTATGAAGATAATTTTTATTTACGCACTTAAATCTATTAACTTTCCAACCTGTGCAGGTTACTGCAGAATTTCTACAGCTGCTTCGCAACTGGAGGAAAGTCAAAGAGGAGCGCACTAAACTGATGCGCATTGGCGGTATTGAGCAACTGATAGAGCAGCGCGTATCGGCATATCGCAAAAATTTAGATCGCATGTAAGTAGAAGATTTTAATTTGCAAATAAAATACTAGGCCAATATGGGTGAACAACCGTTAACTACGAAATAGGGAACACAAATTAAAAAATTTAAGTTCATTTTCCAAGCGCTTTTTGGATTGTTGTCGACCATTTCTTTTCAGTGCATGGCCGGAAATAAAGCCCTTACATCACCCTATAGCCTGGAACTCTCCCAATTAATTAAGGCAATGTACTCCGTATTGAGCTACATAGGTTAAGTGAGGTCAAAAACGCGCACGTATAAATCGTAGCTCTTCTCGGACGCGGACTTCCCATTGTGAACGACTTTTGGTGTCAGGAGGAGGCACATCCTTCTAACCGAAGTTATACCATATTGTCACGATAGTGCCTGTTAAACCCTTTACTAACCCAGATGAAGCTTTGCAGCTCCGATATTTTCACCTCCGCTATCTGTCCCGAAAGTACTCAAAACGCGTGATCTCAAGTGTTTGAGACGCAGTGTCTTGATAGTAGGGCATTGGCATAGAAAGTGGTGAATCGATTCCTCTTCTTCCTCATCATGACAATTTATGCAGAGGGAGTTTTTTATTATACGTCATCGAAGAAGCATTGGTGTTAGGGCACAGTGACCTGTGATGACGCCAGTACAACTGTTATTGAGTCTCGTCCATAGGGATCTTGAGATCTCACAAACGTCACAATCGATCTTAAAGTTGTTGTTGTTGTTGTTTAATGAACCTCTGGACTTCGTACGTCAGTTCGTAGAGATGCCTCTTGACGTGCCTGGGCGAGGACTCTTCTGCAAGCAGTTGTCTATTTGGGTAACCACGTCTATGTCTCGCAACTTAAAACAGCTTGCAGAGCATTGTGTTGTGCTCCTTTTTTGGGAGCATTTTCACCACGTCGTGCAGGTGGTGTTCCGGCGACATCAGAGGGCATCCAGTCGCTGTCCATAGTGCGATCTATAAGTGATTAGTTACAGCTGTGTTCTGTTCTTCAACCCTCCTTAGTAGTTAGGTTAGAAATCGGTGATAGTAGAGAATCATCCGCTTCGCTAATTTGCATTTCCGGACCATGTCTAGCCATCTCATCGACTACTTCGGTCCTTTCGATATTGCTATGTTCAGGAACGCAGCAGGTAAAGGTTTTGACGTGGCTCAGTGCAGCCAGCGATGTACGACATTTTCGAGCTATTTTCGACTTTACTACATTAGAGCCAAATATTTTCAATGCCGCCTTGTTTTTAAGGAATATAGTGACGTTCCCCCGTACTGTCCTGTATGAGACAAGCCGACTTCTCTATGGCAAAGATCTCCGCCTGATATGATTGCCTCATCTAAAGGTCCTTGTAATACACTTTCAAGGAACTCTAAATAGTGTTGAAGAACTAGGCAGTCCAGCCTTGCCCCTCTATATAACATCATGCTTACAATTTCCTCTTCCCTGCAGCAATGAAAAAATTACCGCATGTAAAGATGAAATTGTGGAGGTAAAACGTAGAAATCAGACTATTAATCGTGCAATCGATGAAGTTAAAGTGGATGTGGCAATATTCACAGCGAATCGGGATACACTATTGGAGGAAAAATTGCATCGAGAGCGCAATGAAAGGTAAACCCAATGGTGCAATATGTCTAAAACTCAATTTATTTAAACATTTTTTTCCTTCGACTTTTTTTTAGCATGGACAAGGTAAAACGTTACAGTTTCCTCATCAACGAGGTGCGCCAGGATTATGCGCATATACTCGAGCTAAAGACGATTTTGGAATTACAACGCTTGCGCACATTCCCGACACTGGGACCACCACCAGAAGATTGTGGCGAGCCTTTAGCTTAGTTCGTGTTTTAGCTTACATTTTTCCAATATGGTTTCGTTATTTAAATATGTATTTATTTTATATACTGCTTTTTACAGAATTATGAATGCTTGGTAACTTTGCGTTACGTCACGGCACGTTGCGTTATGTTACGTTATGTCACCCAGTTACGTTGCAATACGTTATGTTAACGTACGTTACGTTACTTCAAGTGACTTTGTCTCACCTTGCGTCATGTCACGTTACATTACGTCGTGTTACGTTACATTACGTCACTTTACGTTACATACCTTTTTTCAATATATTTACTTTTAGGTATTTTTTGCCAACATTGTTAAGATTACTTTATAGCAAGAAATATACGGTCAGGAGTGGTACAAAGACGTGCAGAAACGTCCACATCCAATAGAGGCTGTAAAGTAAAAATAAGGGTTTAAGGAAACCTTCAGGAAATTTTCCAACCCACTCACCGCGTGATTCTCCACCTACTGGAACTCTCATGAAATTGCTCGTGATGCAGATACTTTTGTATGCCAATAACAAATTCTCTTATATAACTGTCATAGTCCAGTGCTTCCAAGTTCCAAGAGAGTTGATGCAAAGCCTTATTTTGTAGTAATTCCTCAAAATAGTAACGACTACGATTTTTGAAAATCCACTCATTTAGCGAGAACGTGCGACCTGAGATAAAATATAAATTCCATTAAATACTAGCTTCTTTTCCTATCTCAACTCGCTTTCACACTCCTTCTCATCTCTACCACGCACCTGCTAGACAAGCTTGTCGAAATTTTTTCGCAATTGGCAGCACAAATTTTCGTTTCTGCCTTAAAAGTGTCAGCAAATCCATTAACAGCGCTGGCACGAAATGCAGTAAAATTACGGCAATTTCGTGTAGCAGAAAACTTTTTCGATATTTAAAATTCGGATACATCATTATGCGATTAGTTGGATAAATGCGCGACCATTTCAGTGTCAGACAACCCAGACGCGCCCAAGTGATGGGATTTGTGACACCCGATGTTGCATTGGCTATGTAAACTCTGTCAGAGGTAATAAGTAGAAAAGTATGTAAATACAAAAATATAACTACAGCTTCACTTTGCAAACCTTCCCAGTGTTGCTTTCTGTGCCATCAATAACAGTGAATTCACCACAAAGTCTACTGGTATTATATCGCAAATGATATCTTTGTCACCCAATATGCTGCTAATTGTACCCTTTCCGATTTCCATCATTATGCCAGTGATGCCTTGTATGTTGTCGATCCAACCAGGATAGGGTTCACGATGTGCTGCTGTCACAATCGATGGTCGTACGATGACAATTGGTATGCAGTGTTTGTATTCATTCACAATTTGCTCGGCTATCGATTTGGTGAAGGTGTAGGTATTCGGATGGGGACCCTGCGGATGAGAGAGTAATTGTGCATTTACGTTGGTGTAGTAGGTGTTATAGCACCCTAAATGACAAGTTTAGGATTAGTATAATCTCAATAAATCCCGCTTTATATTTGAGCGTACGGTTTTAACTGGTTGCACGGTATCGGGAAAAGGAAAATATCCGAAAAATACTAGAGCTGAAAGTCATGAGGAGTTATCCATGTATAGGATTAAATGTGTTTTCTTTTTTCAGCTAAACTGGCACATATGTATATAGACCCTGATTAACATATAGGAGAAGAGTTGCCACCTTTAAAAATATCAAAATCACTTGATAATTAAAATAAAAGGATATTACAACAATGTGGGTGTCAAACGAATCTATTTTGAAATTATTTTTGATGAGGGTTGCCACCAGATTAGGAATTTAAAATCAATTCAATGGACAAGTGAAGGTTACCGAGTGTGCGTGGGACTATGTTTGCTGCTCTTTCCTTGGATAAAATGTAGCATAGAATACATAGCTTATGACCTGAATGAACACATAGCATATTTTTTTGGAAGAGGGTTGCCGTCTGCTTCAACAGTTAAATTCTATATTTCTATTGCTGCAGCTGACGAAATCGAAAAAAAAATTATAATTATATTGCGCATTCTGCCGCCAACTTCGTTTCGCATAATTTGCATGAAAAAAGTTTCAGAAATTATTCCAGCTTATCCTTTTGATAAATCCCTTTCGTCCCCCTTTAATTAATACCTACTTTTATATAATTAGCCAAACTATTGAAGTAGGCATCCGGTATTTTATTGGTGCAATCAACGAACATTTTCCAATTGACAGGCGGCAGTGTGGGGTATATCAGCTCATCGACAAATTTTCGACCAGGATTACAGTATGCTGTTGAAACATAGACAAAACTCTGTAAGATAATTAAATAAAACGTAAAATTAGTAAGTGCTAATGGTAAAGTGTTTCTTGTCAATAACTTAGGTAACAAGTGGTGCCACAAAAACCATTGCCAACATAGTTGTTGAAGTTGCATTCAGGACCGATTGACTTGCTACCTAGACAAAAAATTTAACTACTTAAAACCGAACTGAGTCACACTTCAGAGCTACTACTTAAATAACTGGTTGCTGAACCGCTACAAAACACGGCTAGGTGGCTCGAGCCACTGCACCGAACTACACCGATTTCTGAAGTGGTTTGTAGCCCTGTTTAGTTGGCTATTAAAAGCTTTAGCTATGAGATCTAAAATTCAGCTTAATAATAATTAATAAAAATTTTTAATTGATAAAAAATATACAATTAGCTCACCTCGCTCAATCGTTATTTTACATAAAAAAAATTTAAGATTAAGATTTTACGATGGTTAACACGTCTCAATCCCCTAAATATATTAGAATATTTTCAACCATTCACGCTGTTAGTTTGAGTTTTATATCCCAGTTTCTCGGCATGAGTATTAGACCGGACCTTATCAAGGACTAGTCCATTTGTATAGCTACCATGAGAGGGTCGCAGCTACAATAAGCGCAGGCAGAAATAAAAAAGCTCTACATTTACTACTCTACAGCACGAAAAAAAAAATTCCCGCAAAAAAGCCGTAACGCTCATAAGATAAATTTGTTTCCTGCCTAGAAAGAAAATGTTATATGATGCGTTCTTTTCTTATGGATGTAGTAGTTAATTTTTTTATACGCGGGTACAATTGTGCACAAGGATATTGTAATTTTGTTCACATAACGGTTGTTTGTAACAGCCAAAACGAATCGAGATAGATATAGACAAATGTATACATAAATGATCAGGATGAAAAAAGAAATCGGTTAAGCCATGTCTGTCTGTCCGTCCGTCTGTCCGTCTGTCCGTCTGTCCGTCCGTCCGTGTACACGATAACTCGAGCAAAAATTGAGATATCTCAACGAAATTTGGTATGTAGGTTTCCCTTAATCCAAGGTAGGTTGGTATTG